TTCCTGCTCCTCTGATGCTGCTTGGCCTGCTGTGTTCATCCAGCTCTACACCTTGTTATCTCCATCCAATCTCTTCATTTTTTTTTCTGACTGCACAAATGGTTTAAAACTGAAATGCCTTTAATGTCGAGCAGTAGGAAGCAATGTGGAGAGAATTCCCTCATTTGAACTTGTCCAAACATTTCAATTTTATGTTCCGTAGATCAGCCTCAGGGCTCATTACTGGGAAAATTCCATTGTGGGTTACTGAGTTCTAAGTTGGATTACCGTTGGAGTAGTGCTGTCTGTGAGACAGCTCTGCCTTACATTTGTGAAAAAGTGATCAACTCTACAAAAAAGGTGGAACCATTTGGTAAGTTAGTATGTTTATGATTTTTTTTCTCATTTGCATTTACTAGATTGTAAAAAGTATCATTGCAGAATGTTACTAAGGACAATGTGGCCTTCAAACATTTTGAGTCAGTGCACTGTATTCATGTGTGAATTTACAGAATGAACATCGTTAACGTTTGAACTCTCAAGGTCGTCATAATCATAGCCAATCCTCACCAAGTGTTTGTGTGTATGCAGTACTAGCAGGAAGTGCTGATCAGCAGTCAAGGAACAGGAACTTCTGCAATGACTGCAGTTTTTATTTATCATAGCTTTCAAATGCAGAGACGAATTATATCTTTGACACAGCTGCCCTGATTGGGACCAGCCGATGTAAAACAACAGACTTTCAACTTATGATCTTCCTGCTCCTTCAACTCTGCATGGAATTGCATGGTCCACTTAGCCCGCAAGTCATAAAGAAACTAAAAGCTGAAAAACAAGTCAACACATTTGCTATTTTTAATGTTCATTCTTGGCATGTGTGAGGAAATACTTGCATACCAATTCTGGTTGTTTTATAGACATTTCAAAGGGAAATGACTATGTAAGACAGGAAAATTTTGTAAGCCACACTTCTCTCCCAGTTAGTATTTTACCACAATCTACCAGGTTTATTGATTAATTGATGGACAAATTGCTACATTAATGGAATTCACTTGGATAATTTGTTATGATGGGATATGTAATTTGTGCTGTTTGCTTCCACCAATTTATCCTACATTGTGCTATAATCTTGAAGGAGACTTGAGAGAGATTTTAAAAAGAAATTCAAGCTTCCAGTTATTAACTGAAAGAATAATGTCACAAGATTTAAGTAAAAACATTTAAACAGAATTAATCAAAGTAAGTTGTGTCATAACACTATATTACATAAACCCTTATTATTTAAGCCACTATTCTATTTTATTACCACCCAATATTTCCCCTATACTTTCTATGACTATGAGGTTTCCTTCACTATGTCCAAGTCTAAACCAAAATGTGCCAAATGGACCAAAGCTTAGGAATTCACTTTAATTTGCTTCTGTTTCCCAATCTGGTGCATAAACCTCTGGAGTTCACTTTATTTGTGAGGATTGCACTGCTGATCTCTTCATGAAATTTACAAAGATCCATCCATTCTTTTCCTTTAGCGTCTAAATTTTGTATTCCGAGCATGGATCCACTTGTAATTCTTGCTAAGTCAGTCCTGCTGGGGAATACCCTGATTCTAATGGTCTCTTCACTGCTTGTTCTGGATGCCAACATGTGCGCCTCTTTACCTTCCAAGCTGATTTTCTTTCCACAAGAAAACATACAGATAAACTCAAACTCAAAACAAAAGAACTCTCTTCCAGCAATCTATCCCCTCAGCAATGAGATCTTCATGGGATCTCCCAGATAGAGATTTCAATTAATTGTTGTTGGCAAGTTATGAGTTCTAAAGCAAATTTTTCTCCCTTTTAATCAATGGAGGTGTATTTCCCCACTCACTCTTTGTTGGCACTGACTTCGCAAGAACTGCAATAACACTGTTAAACCAGAAGTAAAGAGTAATTCAAACTTACTTTCATGGAGTGGGGATGTGTGTGTAACTCTGACATACATGAGCAGATTGACATAATGAACATAGAGGTCTCATCAAAACAAAGATTATTCAATTAATAAAAACATTAGCTGGTAACCCTCAGTTATTTTGTATTTATCAATGTCCATGCGTTTAAAATTGAGCCAAAGGTCCAAAGTTGAAGTTAGCAGTCTTGAATTCCTTTCTAGGAAAGAGTTGATTGGCTAGCCAGCATTTCAGGAGTTGCAGATGATTTTTTTTTTTCAAAATCTCTTCCATTGTCTTCTGAGGAAGTTTTTCTGAAATGTAACTTGTGTTTCACTTTTATTAAAAGAATGTTGTTACATTTTCATGGGGAGGTGATAGTCTAATGTTATTATCACTTGTCTATTAATCCAGAGATCCAGGTAATGTTCTGGGGACCTGGGTTCAATCCCACCATGGCAAATGGTGGTATTTGAAACCAATAAAAATCTGGAATTAAGAGTCTAATAATGGTTATTTTGCCAATTGTCAGGAAAACACATCTGGTTCACTAATATCCTCTCAGGAAGGAAATCTGACATCCTTACCCAGTCTGACCAGTGGTAGAGCTCTTCCTTATGGGTCTGAAGTTTATGTGTTTGAATCCCATTTCAGAAATGTCACCACAATATCTACAGAAACATTATGGTGTAGTTCTAAGGGGATACTGTACCCTTGGAGGTGCTATTTTTTAGTTGAGGTTGTAAACTGAGCCCTCATCTTTCTTTGGGTGAATAGTACAATGGAACCTTTAACATTTCAAAGAAAAGCATGGGCGTTCTTCCAGTGTCCTGGCCAATGCTTCAACGAAAATCTAACATCTGAATATTCGAACACAATTTATTCCACAGTTCCACAGTTACAATATTGACAACACACCACTAAGTGCTTAGTTAGTTGTAAAATGCTTAGGAATTCAGTTGATTGTAATGCTTTTCTTTTACCTTTGTTGTGAATGTCAGAATTCTGGCAGTATAGGACCACACACTGTGAATCCGGCTGGCTTTCCTACAATGGATTTTGCTACAAAATGCATAAAGAAGATTTGAACTGGAAAGATGCCCTGATGTCCTGCCGCCTGAATGGAAGTGAACTCATTAGTATGCAGTCACTGGCAGATGTGGCTGTTCTGATCAACCAGTTTAAAAGTGGTGAGTACACAGTCATTGGACAAAATTGAATGTAGCCCAGGGGAATTGGAACTGCAGTGGAAATGTTTTAATAGCATTGAGTAGGAGGCTGTGCATCGGAACTCTGGGCCTAGTTATGTGGGCCACAGCTAAATGCCAGATACTATTAACTGGGATCAGAATGACCAGGTGGTTTATTCTTCCAGTGCAAACATGATGGCCTGAATGGCCTCTTACTGTAACATTTCAATAGCTCTGTGGCAGTGCTAATGGGTTCAGCTGTAAGATAATCAAATATCTTAAAAAGATTGTTCATGTTGAATTAGCATGCCTGATTGGAGTTAAACAATGCTTCACTTATTTAACTTGCCATTGGAGGAAGAGGACTAGTGGCCCAAAAATGGGATTCTGCATCTTGCCTTGACTGCTCAGGGATCTAGGAGGACTGGACAAATGAGGAAGCTCCAGAATTAAAAATGCCAATGCAGCACCAATTATTGTATTAAAATTAAGAACAGATTCCATGGCTTACAATGGATACTGAACTCCATCTGTGTACCTTGTTCCAAATGAAGCCAGCCATCTTTGGACAGATAAACTATTGGAATCAAAGCCAGACACCAGTGGTACACACCCTGTGGAAGAAGGTGATTGTGGCAGTGAAGGTTAGATGCTGAAACCTTTTGACAAGATGCCTTTGACTTCTTGCATACAACAGAAGTTTAATGACCTTACTAGATTTGACTTTGCATTTGAACAATCTTTGCTTAATAATCTGGAATGTGCTAAGAATTGCTAATGAGAGGTTGTTAGTTGGGCTTGCAGTGAGGCACATCTCTGTGTACTAGGAGCTACAGATATAAATATAAAGGATTCTGTTCAGTGCAAACAGAACATGTACACACATTGTGTATATATTTCAGCTCAACAGAACAGCTGATAGCCATTCTCTGGTTCATTTTTCAGAGCAAAGCCTTGACTAATCGGACTGAGCCTGCCTGGTTAAAATTTAAACACTGTTTAGCAGTTAACTATCAATTATTATAGAGTATAAAGATGTTTTTTTCTCCTTGCATCAACAATTCTTGTGAAAAGTCCTGATGAGTAAAAGATTGGAAGCTTCAACACACTTGTATTATTTTTCAGAAGTAATAAATGGCATTTAAAAATCATTGTGCAGTGTTGAATAGTTGATAACTACACAAACTTGCAGATCAGAAGAAGCCTGCACTTCCTTACCCACAATGTTTTCCTGTGTGCTCTTTGGTTTGCATATCATCTTCTTCAGTTTGCTCAATTGAATTGGCCTACTGAATGGCAAAACTGTGCAACTTGCAGCAGAGAACAGACCAGACATCTTAGAATATAAAGAATAAACACTGGAAATGCACAGTATGCTAGAGGGTGTCAGTGGAACGGATTAATGAGCTGCATTTAACTATTTTGGCAAAGTATTCATTTCATCGAGCCTCGTGGAGAAAAACCCTCAATGAGGCCTAACAATTTTCCCACCACATATTAAGAAATGAAATACACCCTTCTCCACCCAATTGGTGCATCCGATTCTAGCCTGATTTATGCACTGTTATTCTGGAGCTGCCCTGCAGTTCCTGATATTTTCTCCAGACATGAGTAGGGAATATTGGTGCTGTGTTTTGTGTGCAGGGACCTGGAGGTGCAACTGGATAGAGTGATGCAGGGACAAGGTGTTCACCCCCAGGACTAGTAGAGGAGGGCGTGACACCAGACTATGGCAGCCTGGTCCAGGTTACCACTCAGGCCAGTGCAGTCTCAGCTGTATGAAGGAATGCAACATCATTGTAGGAAACGGTCAGTGACCTTCTTCCCTCTGCAATTGCAGATGCCACACCATCATCAAACTGATGCCTTGCCACACATTACGTAAGCTACTGCATCCAACTTCCCACCTCATGTTCTACCACTCTCACTAATGCCTGCAATGTCTTTCCTCACTCACTCTCACCCATCCTAACCCCTGACACCATCAATCATGTATGACTTCTGTGCTATCCACTTGCTCACTCAGGACACCACCTCATTGGTAAAACTGTGCCACCGTCTTTCATCTCTTTTCGTACCTCCCCCTCTGTCATTCCAGGAGGAAAATAGACTCCAATAGGGCCGAAAGAGTTAAGATTGCCTGACATTTGGCTCATTACCTCTTGTGTGAGGAGGATGCTGACTCTGACTGCCCTCAGCAGTTGACTGACCATGTCCAAACACCTGCACTGGTATTAGAGGTTGACCTTGACCTATTCTGCCAGGAACCCCTGATCCAAATCCATCTCCCTTGTCTTGTTTGAGGACTGCTGAGAACCACGATAAGCTTCCTAGCATTGTGCCTTGGCTAGAGAGCACGGCAATGCAGCAGTACTGCGAGCCTGGTATCTCAAGCTGAGTGGCAAAGCGCAAAAAGGCAAAGATTTTGTGAGCATCCAGGCATGCTCAAGGTGAGTGAGTACTAAGAGAACAAACGAACAGATGAAGCCTCTTCTACTTTATGAGCTGAGTGTGTCTCCCTGACTGCAGTGTCCTTGCTACAACATGACAATGATAGTTTTCAGAGGTTGGTATATGTTTGATACCAGTGTCTACAGACATTGACATCAGGTGCCCGGAGATGATGGTATCTGCTACCCAACATAGAGGTCCTTTAGAGAAATTGGTGAGCTGGAATCACAAGGTACCCCCTCTGATTTCAGTGTAGAGAATAATTGGTGTCCAGTTTGCTTGTGTGGATGGTATAACAGGAAGCTGCATATTAATGTGTTGAGATCTGCACTTAATAAAGTCATTAACAAGAAAATATTGCCCCTAATAGACAACTCACCGCTGTCCAGTGAGAATTGTACCCTGGCACCTGGAACTTTGGCAACAACCTGCATCTTTCAACTCTGTCAAGATAGGCCTCCCTGGTCTTTTCGCATGTTTTGTCACATCTTTCCACCATTGATCCTGGACCTTCAAGATCACAGCAGAATAGGACACCTCAGCCAGAGCTCATCCTCTTCCTCCGTTTCTTTTACTTTCTTCTTATCTTTTATTTTTCTCTCTTGTCCTTTCTTGGTAACATCCTGAAGCCCCGGCCTCAGCGCTGACACGGCATGGATTCCTCTCAGCCTGGCATGGCGATCTCCTGGCCTGGCATTGTAGTCTCTAGGCAGTCTCTCAGTGGCTCATGGCAGTCTTGCGGTGGCCTGGTGAGACAGTCTCATGGCAGTCTCTCAGCGACCTGTGATGATCTTTCAGCCCAGTGTGGCCTCCGCATGGACTTACGGCCTTTAAGGTGATTCAAGGCCTGGCACTATCTGAAGGCAAGGTGTTGCCGTGGACTGGGTTGGAAGGACTGTTATTCTCAACTTTTTATTTCTCTATTTTTCTTATTTATTCCTATGATCTGTCATGCTGGACTTTTTATTTCTTTATTTTCTATTTTTTTTTCTGAAGAACTTGTACTGAATAATCTGTATCTCGGTATCTTTGTACCTAAGATGGCGCTATAAGTGGCAACTTGTAAACTTTTCACTGTGCTCATTTGAGTACATGTGATAATAAAGCTAATTCAAATCCAATTGTTGAGGCCCCTATAGGATTCTGTCCAACATTTAAGATCCTGATGTGTTAACCTATTAGAGTTATAGACTGAAATTATTGTAATTTTCCATTTGTTTTCTCTTCTGTAATCTTTTCTTTTACAAAGTATTTGCATTTTTGAGTTCTGTAATGCACGAGAACTTGGCGATAATTCAACTGCGTCTCTGTGTAAATCAGTTACTGCAGAGTTGAATTGTTACAAGTTAATTTTAAACTTTTTCTCAATCTTAAAGTTTGATTTGATTTATTACTATTGTCACATGAACTAAGATACAGTGAGAAGTATTGTTTTGTGTACTAACCAGGCAAATCATACATTACATAAGTACACCAGGGTTTGTTGTGAGTTTCTTGTGACTCGTAAGTGATCTATGTTAACAGTCCTTACTATGATTTGGTATACTAATTGAATTACCAAGCTTTTAGACAGATTTCTGAATACCCTTTTTATTGACAAATGTACTGGTCAAGTAAACCACTGCCACTACTTCATGAGTTCTTTCTTCCAAAGGCAAGTCCTTGCAATTATTCACTGACAGTTTTTACTGTAAAGTATAAGAAGAGAGGTCTTGAATGTACCTCACCAAAATAGAGGTTGAATCTGTGCTGTTGGTTCTGATTTTCTACACGTGCAAACTAACTAGGCGAACGCCAAGCTCTCCCCACCCAGAGTAAGCCTAAAGTATGGCAAATATATTGAACATTTTGACCTAATTTTGACAGCCATTTTGATATCAGATTCCATCACCCTGGCCTTACACTCATCCCTGGAACATATGGATAACAAGGATACCTACATCGGGCTCCTACTTATTGACTATAGTTCCAACTTCAACACCAACACCATAATTCCAAACAAACTGTTCTCTAAACTCCGAAACCTAGGTCTCGGCTCCCCACTCTGTGACTGGATCCTTGACTACCTGATCCATAGACTGCAATCAGTAAGAATAGGCAATAACACCCTCTCCACCATAATCCTCAATATTAGCGCCTCACAAGGTTGTACTCGGCCTCTGCAACACTGATTTTACATTCACGACTCTGTGGCCAAATTCTGCCCCAATATCATTTACAAATTTGCTGACAACGCCACCATTGTTTGAGATCAGACCTACAATGACGAGGTAGAATACAGGAAAGAAATTTGAGTACTAAACGACATGGCATAAAGACATAAGTCTCTCCATCAATGTCAGCAACACGAAGGAGCTAGTCATTGACTTCAGGAAGTGGAGTGGAGAGCACGCCCCTGTCTGTATCAATGGTGCTGAGGTGGAGATGGTCGAGAGCGTCAAATTCCTGGAAGTGATGATCACCAACCTGTCCTGGTCCACTCATTTCAGTACGATGGTCAAGAAAGCACAATAATGCCTCTACTTCCTCAGGAGACTAAGGAAATTTGGCATGTCCACAATGACTCTTACCAATTTTAATAGATGCACCAGAGAAAGCATCCTATCTGGATGCATCACAGCATGACATGGCTACTGCTTTTTCCAAGACCGCAAGAAACTACAGAGAGTTGTGAGCACAGCCCAGTCCATCACACAAACCAGCCTTCCATGCATTGATTCCATCTATGCTTCAGCTGCCTCAGGAAAGCAACCAACATAATCAAAGACCTCTCCCACGCCACTCCATCAGGCAGAAGATATAAAAGTTTGAATACACATATGAACAGATTCAAGACCAGCTTCTTCCTCACTGTTATCAGACTCTCGAACAGACCTCCCAAATGTTCATTCTGATCTCTGTCTCTGCAGCTGTAACACTGTATTCTGCACTCTGTTCTGCGACCCTGATGCACTTTGTTTGGTACGATCTGCCTGTATAGCACACAAAACAACATTTTTCACTATATCTTAGTGCATGTGACAACAATAAATTAATCAATCAATCAATAATTGTTGCCATGAATTTGAAAAGTGACAGTGAAAGACGAACTGGCAGTTACATACTAAGAACATTATTTAATTTCCTGTTTTGAACCTAACCAAATATATATATAATCTTTCTGCCAGAAACTGTACCAGAGGTTTGGATTGGACTTGCCAACAACAGGACACCAGCTCAATTTACATGGTCAGAAGGATCACCTGTGATATTCACTTACTGGCATAAAAATGAGCCAAATGTTCCATATAACACCACAGAACACTGTGTGTCTTCACAGAAGATTGTAAATATATTTACTAATATTTGCATGCCTTCTTGAACTTTTCTTTACTGTCTAGCCACAAACCATGTGAATGCTGCTTTAGAAATAATATGTCTTCTGTTACTCTTACCAATACTGTGTGTGATTCAGACATTCAGAAACCTCATATTCTAAACCCTTTGCAGCTGTTTTTATTCTAAAATGTTCAGCAAAACAAATAAATTCTGCATTAGAAAAGTTATCTCAATTGTTAAAATGAATTCAAGTTAGTAAGACTTCTCATAATGAGAACAGATTTGTTATTTCAGCATCAAATATATTGCAAAGTCTAATTTCTTTATTGATGGCTTCCAAAAAAGGGGCTAGTTTTTATTAACCACTCTGTTTTGTTTTGTTTCATGATCTGCTACCAGTCTCTGAGTACCAACAAGATTTAGTTTAGTTAAATTCTTCTTGTACAGAAAATTCCTGTTGGCCTTGTCAAAAGTATTACAAGTCTGTAAACTTACCAACACAGATTTGGAATGTGGAAACAGACTAGTCAGTGAAATCTGGGGTGTTTCTCGGTTCTGGAGATCTGCTGAACACCTCGATGAATGACCATTCATATGGAACTTTCTTCCATGGCATTAAGTAACCAGGGTAAACTCTAATGATTATGAACAAATTGTAAATTTAAAAAGGAAAATGTGGGTTTGTGGCCAAATGGTTGTTTTTCCTGGTTCAATGTTTAATACCTTTCTAGATAAATGTTCATCTGTCCAGAATGACTTCTTTATACTTATCCCTGAGCTAAGATTTGTGAGCTAGCTTTATTATATGTTTTGGCTGTCTAGTCTTTTTGCTTGTTACGATAGGGACGAATTCATAATCTCATTTGACCACTCATGCTTCAAATTTATGGATGAAACAAAGTTTGTCCTTTGCAATGGACGACTAATCTTAGTTGTTATAATGATTTGTTGATTTGCATTTTATATCATGCTGCTTTAGTGTCAAAACCATAAATGCAGCTTCTTATAATCTTAATGAACCTAGGTAGAACTATTTCTTTGTTATGTGCCATGAATTAAAAAAGCTTTAATTTCATCATCACAATATGGCATAAGTCATTATGATGGTACAACTAAAATTTTGTTTTACTAAGTTAAAAGTGCTATGTAAGTCCATGTTGAGTAGCTAGTTATTAAATTGTCTTAATTTTGCACACATCAGTGAAATTTTATCTGATATGTCACTTAGTGATGCTTTTTAACTCAGTGGAATAATTACAAATGTAAATTGTTGCATCGGAGCAAACACGCCACATGATGTTATTTATGCAGCTAGATGTTTGCAATATACAAAAGTTCAGAAGAGAAATGTGCCACTGTAATAAAAACTGCAGATGCTCTAAATCAGAAACAAAAACAGAAATTGCTGGAAAAGCTCAGCAGGTCTGGCAGCATCTGTGGAGAGAAATAAGTGTTAACGTTTCAGGTTGAGTGACCCTTCCTCGGAACAGTTCTGGGGAGATATCACTCAGCCAGAAATGTTAAGTCTAATTTCTCTCCACAGATGCTGCCAGACCTGCTGAGCTTTGGCAGCAAATTCTATTTAGTGCCACTGTAATGTTTTGATTACTGATAATTTGTTATTTGCACATGTCTTTGAATTAAGCGCATTTTTTTAAACTTAAATTAACAGGATGGCCAATGGAAAGTTAAAGATTGCGAGGAAAATATATGGAGCATCTGTAAGAAGCCAGGAAAAGTAGAACAAAGACAACCTAGAAAAGATGAAGGTTGCCCTGAGGTGTGATATCCATTTCTGGGAATACATTTATTTTTGTATTTTAACCATCGTCGTGTGGAAATTATTACTGATATGTGGTGGAACAACTTGGTGTTGTAAGGGTAACAGAGAAGTACTATCAATGGCTGAGTTAATTGCATGATTCCCTAATGTAGTGTTGAAGACATAATGAGTAGTTAAGCTTTGTATCTCTGGCATAATGGCTTGGATTTTGCTCTGATTATAACTGCAAGACTTGCTGTTTTTACTAGGTAGAACTGGTGTCTGCACAATCGCAGTTAAACAAAGAAGTCTGATAGTGATTTCCTGCTCTTTGATGTATTGAACTGTTGCAGTCTTCACCACTAGATCATGCATAGAAATCAATATTACAGCATGAATTTTGTCTGATTATTCACTATTCTCACTCTTAAAATTGAACAAATCTTAATTTTTTTCAATCAAGGTTCATAGCCGTTCTTAGTGGTTAGCGAATGATAATTATTTCCATCAAAAGGAAGATAATGCTCCATTTTATTAAACATTTTGTTGTTTTTCTCTTTATGTTTCCTATACTCCCACATAGAGTCATAGAGTAATACAGCATGGAAACCGGCCCATTGGCCCAATCTGGTTCATGCTGACCATGGTGCCCACTCAGCTAATTCCAATTGGCGGCATTTTGTCCATCTCCTTTTAACACCTTTCCCATCCATGTCCTATCCAAATGTTTTTTTAGTATGTCCAGAACTTTGTTTAAATTTCTGTACAGTGTCTTAACTATAATTTATATTTGCTGTTTGCCTGTTTTCCTCTTTGCTTTCTGTCTGAAACAAATAAAAGCAGATATTGCTGGAGAAACTTAGTAGGTCTAACAGCATCTGTGGAGAGAGAGAACATAAAGGTAATATTTTGAATACTGTGACCCTTTTTCAGAGTTAGTGGGAGCTTAAAAAGAATTAGGAAAGGTGGTATTTATGCTGTTGACAGTGCGTGGGTGGGAAAAGGGGGTGGGCGAATAGGTAACGAGGGAGCCCAGAGAGAGGAAGAAATGGTAGTCAGAGGGATTTTTTTTCCAAATAAAGGGATTGCTTTCCATCTGTTGGTGAGGATTCATGATCCTGTTGGGTTGAATAGCTTTGCTACTGCTTGTGCTGTTCTTGGATGCTAAATGTAAATGTGCTGGCAGAGAGGAAGCTGTTGCTGTTAAGTTTGCTAAATGCCTGGAGTTAGATTTACATATGGTTAATGGCAAAAGCCATTCCTCCAGTGCTCACAGGAAAGTCTGGGCTAGTCCGTAGTTAAGCAGAAAATGTATTATGCTCCATATGTGCAATGTTATGAATGTCAAAATAAAACAAAATACTGCTGAAGAATGAAGTCTTTTTGACAGTTTAACTAATTTCTAACAGGTCTGCAGTTTTTCAGGTGAACTGTTACTTTTCTGTATGCTGTCGGTATTGTGTTCAGTTATTATCATCTGTTGTTAATACTTCAGCTATTATCATTGCTGTTGACTCAAAACAAGAGAGTAGTTATGGTAGGAGGTAAATGGTGTACCGGTATAACCTTTAAGGTGTACTGTCCCAGATACAGCTGTTTGAGATGACCGAGGAAATGTGCTAAAAATGGTTTGTGATAGTGGAATATCATCCTGCGAAGGACAGGCAGATATGATCATCCATCTTCTGTGTGCACTGTTACTCGTTTTTGGTATTACCAATTTGCACTGCTAATATTGACTGAGAGAGTCATAGAGTTGTACAGAATGGAAACAGACCCATCAGTCCAACTTGTCCATGCTGACCAGATATCCTCAATTAATCAAGTCCCGCATTTGCCAGCATTTGGCCTATATCTCTCTAAACCCTTATTATTCATCCACGAACCAGATGCCTTTTAAATGTTGTAATTGCACCATCCTCCACCACTTCCTCTGGCAGCTCATTCCATACAGTCACCACCCTCTGCACAAAAAAGTTGCCCCTTAGATCCCTTTCATATCTTTCCCCTCTCACCTTAAACCTGTGCCCTCCAGTTTTGGACTCCCCTACCCTGAGGAAAAGATCTTGAATATTCACCCTGTGCATGCCCCTCATGATTTTATAAGCTTCTTTAGGTTACCCCTCAGCCTCCAAAACCGATGTTTTACTTTATCAGCTGGAACATTCCCAGAGACTGGAGTTTCTTAATTGTGCCACTTTGCAACTTGTTCCTGATTATGCTGCTGTATTCCAGAAGAGTTGTAAAGGATTGTTATGTTGCTGTCCAGCTGTTTTGCAATCACCAATAGAGTAATGAAGATGGGATTCTAATGTCCCACAAGTCATTGTAACTGTGCCTGCCTTATTTGAAGGTACAGAAATCATGGGAGACTGGCTTCTATGAATTCAAGATGGTTTTTGTCACATACTAGCTTTTACTACACCACCTAAGTGTGCAAAGTTATGATTGAACAGATGCTTTTTGTAATCCATTGGAGGTTTATGTACTGCCCAGTTACTTTTGATTAAGGCAACAATAGTAATTACCTTTAGTGGAACAAAATATCTATAAAGTTTTTGTCCACTGTTATCTTTTAATTATCTAGAAACAATAAATTTAAATTTAAATTTAATTTTAAAAGAAAAGGGGGAATTTTTATCCAGAAGTGGCACGTGATAGAGATGCAATTGTATGTTTGTTTTAATGTTAAACTAGTGTAAGGCATTCCAATTTAGCAGTGGGATCCCCTGTATACACAAGTTTTGGTCCCATGCTAGATACATGACATCCGTTATTTGTTACCTGAGTAGACTCTTGCATTGGGTATTAGGCCAGGCAAGAGAAGTATGTAAATTAAGAACCTATGCCTGCTCATGGACTTTTTTGAAAATTTGTTGGTGATCGAAGGGCACGCACAAAGCTGCATTTGATACTTCACTAGCACCCACAGCTGCAGACTAATTTTTTCTGTCTTTTTCGGGAAGATAAAATTCTTTCCACCCCTACTGGCCCCACAGAAGCTCTGAAATACGTTGGCCACCTTCCCATCAGGTCTCTCATGATTGCTTTTTCTCTGTATCCACCCCATCCCAATAGCCTTCTCATATCTCCTGATCACTGCTATGCACAACAAATACTGAAAATCTCTCCACCAATTTACATTGTGGATCTTTCATTTTTTCAGAACTGGAAAAGATATGAAGAATCCTGTTATAAGATTGACAATCACCTACAAACATATGAAGAAATTTCAAAAAAATATTATTGTCCGCTCGTTACCATTGGAAACAGGTAAAAGGAAGTGCTTCCATATATTACTGTTGATGGATGGACAGAATCAGTTTCTTTTCCATTCTTAACAACCTAATTGGATCAGAATCAGGTGACTCAGTGGTTAGCAGTGCTGCCTCACAGCACCAGAGACCTGGGTTCTATCCTAGACTCAGGCAACTGTCTGTGGAGTTAACACATTTTCCCACTGTCCATGTGGGTTCCTTCCGGGTGCTCCGGTTTCTTCTTCCAAAGATGTGCAGATTAGTTGGATTGGCCATGCTAAATTGCCCATGATGTCCAGGGATGAGCAGGCTAGGTGGATTAGCCATGGGAAATGAAGGTTACAGGGATACAGTTGGGGGTTGGGTCTGGATGAGGTGCTCTTCAGAGGGTTGCTTTGAACTCTATGGACCAAATAGCCTGTGGTTCTATGAATTGACATGCTTTCCATACTTATCCTCTGTCTGCTGATCTTAAACATTACTAAATAGAGACTAGAGGTTAAAACTTTGACTTGCATTCATCAGAACACAGACTTGGGGGAGTGCGGGTGCAGACAAAGATACATCACTTTATATGTAGTGAGAAGATAGTGCTTAAAAAAAAGACACAACTGTGGATACTGGAAATCTGAACCAAAAACAGAAGTTGTTGGAGACACTCCGGAGGTCTGGTAGGATCTGTGCAGGGAAAGCAAAGTCAACATTTCGGAACCAGTAACCCTCCTCCAGAACACCAACTCTGCTTTCTCCTCATTGATACTGCCAGACCTGCAGAGTTTCTCCAGCAATTTGTTTTCAATTGAAAAGAGGCTGCTGATTTGTTGATTCATAATTGGCATGCAGATGCAATAAGAACAGCTCACTGTCAGTATTAATTTTCAGATCAGGCAGGTAGACTCTGATTAGTCTGAGCTGTCTATATTTCTACTTAACTGACACCTTACAGTTTCTTTGCTGTAGACTGTGAAGAAAATTTAATGAGTTCATTCAAAGACTACTAAGTATGAACTTTTAACAAATCTGAGAGCCATATGTTCTCAGTTCTACTAATCTGCTGACTTGTAACCAAACTCTCCTGCTTTTGATGTTTCACCAACTAAATCCTTTTGCTGAGATAACTGATTGCACAAACTGACTTGAACTCCTTCTAGGAGAGAAACTCAAACTTGCTTCTAAACTAAACCCAGGTGTTTTAAGACCGTAAGACATATCAGCAGAATTTGGCTGAATGAGTCTGCTCCACCTTTCAATGAGATCATGACAAATATCTTAATCTTAATCTTCAACTTCACTTTCCTGCTTTTGTTTTTTTTTAGCTTTTGTTTCATTTGCTGCATTGCATCAGTGTTTTTTAAGCTTGTCCATCACAGTAATTTGTTCATTTCAGTCATTCACAAGAAGTGGAATTTCTTTTCAAAAATTATCAGCCTCGAAGGGGATTGCCAGTACTCCTTCTCCTTGCCAAAACCTTTTGATCCTTTCATCTTGAGCACAGACATCCAAGCATTTTTGTTGAACTCCATATTTGTGAGAAGTAGGGTAAATCTTACTAATTAATGCTCCATGGGTAGAATCTCATTCAATAACGGTGTCCCTGGCCCCCTCCAAATTGGATATTTTATTGTTTCTGTCTCCTTTATTCTCACACTTTTCCTCCTTCATTTTTAATTGTTTTTGCTTACTGATTACAGCTGGCTTATCAAATGGGAATCCTGATAAAAGCACAGGACTTAAAGAGTTAACTCTTTTTTTTTCTCTACCGTAACTGCAAGACCTGCATTTTTTTTGTTAATATTTCAGATTTCCAGCACTACAGAATTTTGGTTTTGGTAAACAATACATTGGTTTGTCCAATAAAATTACCTTTCGCACTTTTAAAACTTGATAACAGGTGAATGAAGTGGTTGTCAGTATCATCATATTTTCACAAAATTAAAAATCTGCAAATTACTGAGAAATACATTTCTTGCAGTGACAGTCTAATTTCAGCTTTCTTGCAACTAAAATCAGCACACTCCAGGGTACTAAAATGTGGATCAATTTTTTTCTGTGACATTCATTCACAAAGGACAATACCAGTGTACTGTATAAAGCACATTTACCAAACCTGTAATAATATAAATTGTCTTCTTATGCGAAAAACAAATGAGTAAGAAATTTGTTAACCCCCCAAAACAGATGTGGAGTTTATACCAGACATGTGATATTGCAAATAGCACCTTAATTGGAATGACCTGCACTTATAAATATTTGGTGCACACAATAGTGTTCAGGAAGCAGAGGGAATAGGTAGCAGTAGAGGTAAATAAGACAAATGTTGCCTTAAGAATATGCATGCAATGCAGGAAGAGATTTTGTCAACTTTTGACATGACTTGCTAATGTAAGTGAGTTCGTCTTACTTGGCCTAACTTACCAACTTCTCCACAAGTTTTATCCACTGTACCTATTATCTCCTTAGAAATAGCCTTTACCAATTGGTACTTACTCCTAAAATTCTCACACACCTCATTGTTGGCAGAGCTGCAAACCTCAAACTGTGTTTCTACACACTGGCAGTTATTAACTCAAGATGGCCACATTACCCAGATGTATTTCAGGATTGTGAATGACAGATTTCCCTCCGTGCCACAGAAGATGGTTAATATCAGCAAATGGCCGGGAAGGAAAACCGGAGAGGAAGAAGTGTGCCTGCATGTTTTAATACCGGAGCAGAAACCATGCCAGCCATTGTGGAAAGGAGCATTGCTGAAGACATTGGTCGTGCTAGAGGGATCAACATGATCGTTCTTTCATTAGTAATTTTCCTTGTGTCCCACTTCTCCCTCATGACTCAATCTTTTTGACTCATTAGCTTTAGATAATCTGAGTGCACATTTGTTACTTTCTTCTTTCTTTGACTACACCCAACTATTGTGATGTTTTCCATTTGCTCAATTTCACAGATAGTGGAGGAGGAAGACAACCATGAAGATGAAGCGACACTTTCATTTAATCTTAAAACTCGCAATGAGCAGCTCAGAGATTCATATCACATGTACTTTCAAAGATAGGATCTGCATGTGGTGAGATACTGGGTACAAGTGCATCAGAGCCATGGTGGAGAAAACCATAACCCAGGTGTGACCTTGCTGGAGCACAAGGTCACACACCAGTTCTAAACAGGAGTAGGGTGAGGATGTCGATGGACCAAGGTGCAGAAGAAACCTGGTGGCTGTACGTACCAAAATGCTTGATGCATTGGGAAGCCAGTCAGAAGACCTGTTCTTTATGTCACAGAACATTTGCAGGTCCAGCACCAACTTGCATGTAACTTTACAGAGAGCTTGGAACCATCCTTTCCAACATGGATTGGGTAATAATTTCCACCCCTGTGGAACCAAGGTTGCAGCTGTGTCTAAAGACTGAAGTTGCAGTTTCCATCAAAAGTCTGAGAATTGAATCAGAAGCTCGAATCTCTGCTGTCGTAACCCTGGATGCCAGCATTAAAAGGGTTTTCCAGGGCATCACAGCCACGTATAATTTTTGTTTTCATTTGTTCATGGGATGCAAGAACCACTGACAAACTCAGGATTTATTGCCCAATCCAAAGTCGTCCTGAAGAAGGTGGTGGTGAATGCAGCATTCTCGATTGAAGATCAGTGACCATTCAACACCCAATTTATAGCCACTGAGGAAGGACCTTGTAGGCGCACTAGGACATGCAAAACCACATGCAGGGCTAAGAGAAAGCACAAGGATGAATGTTTTTGTATGCATTCTTATGATTGAATTTATACATTTGAATTAGGATTAGAACGTGCAGTTACTTTTTGTTTTGATTTTTGAGTTGCTGGAAAGGCAGTAGTCAGTGAAGTCGGTGAATGGGAACGTGTGGTTGAGGTAACTAGTATGGCTCAAGAATTGTTTGTTCACATAGAACCCAGGCCAAAAGAGGCGAGAAAATGGTAGCCTCCCATACACTTACTGCGACCAGAAGTGGAAGAACGTATTTGTTGTCTTCTCCTCGCCTTTCTCTTGCTCCTGGGTTTCTTAGCTGGTGGGTCCTTCATAACTTGTAAGTTTGTGCAACACACAACCACAATTCTTGATAGACATCAGCTAGCTACTGCAGAGCCTTTCTAGCACAATCCATTCAGAGAGAGTGGATGCAAGCTTTCTGATATTCCTTATAGCAGCATTGCTGTCATTGTAGCATATGTGTAATGGTTCTGGGCGAGGATCGTGAGTGGATAACCTTTAACACCCAGCAGTTAACGTTTGCCTGCCATGATGGGTTCAAGTACAATTAATACAGAGGACTGATGGAGGAATGAAGGAATCATGACTGCTGCCAGGGTAAGGGACATTGAACAACATATATTACAAGACACCAGCTGCTCATTGAGCTTTGCCTCAGAAAATGCCTGTTTTTATGAGACACTTGCAAGAAAATGTTTACAATGACTGTACTGCAAACTGGGAGGTTATACATATCTTCAGCATCAGTCGAGAAGGAGCCAGATGAATAAATGTACAATCACTGGATACCTCAAACTATAGCCAATTCTATTCTTTTCTTAGAATCCAAACAGTGTGGAAGCAGGCCATTCGGCCCATCAAGTCCACACTGACCGTCTAAACAGCATCCCACCCCGACCCACTCCCCACCCCATTCCTGCATTTTCCACTCTAGACACTATTTAGCATGGCCAATCCACCAAACCTGTACATCTTTGGATTGTAGGAGGAGACTGGAGCACCTGGAGGAAACCCACACAGAGAATAGGAGAATGTGCAAACTCCACACAGACAGTCACCTGAGGGTGGAATCAAACTCAGGTTCCTGGCGCTGTGAGACAGTAGTGCTAGCCACTGAGCCACCATGCCGTCCTATTTTGTGGTAACAGCATTAGCTACCTCAGTTGATAGGTCTCGGTCACACTCTTTGGAAGTGAAGGTATTTTGAGAATTGGTCTTTCATGAAGTTGAGATAAGAGAATTGCTCCCTAAAGGCCTTCAACAGAAATGCACACCT